CCCTAGAAGAATATTGTTCCTTAGCTCTAGGCTCAAGAATAAAAATCACTATTTCCAAATTCAACTGAAAAAGTCTCTATGAAAACAGTAATAAATAAATAATTCTTTCATTATTACAAGTGTGTCTCGAACCGAAAATAGAAACTTTCAAAATATTATAAGTGAATGTATGAAAAATTCCAACTCGCATAATCGAAGCAGTTGATGAACAGAAGCACAAAGGTCGATTGGTTTTATTCATGTAATTTAAATTATTATGCAATCTGCTGTGTACATTTATTTCGTTGAGCAATATAGCTCAGAGATTATCGTTTTTCCACATCGACAGAAACATGTAGGACAAAAAAAAACTAGTTTTGCAACTACATGCATGTGGTTGTGCTCTTTTAAAACTTTTTCATGTGTTTCATTATTACACGTCAAACGTGCAAAGTTGTGCAACTATTAGTCATGATCATAAATTTCTCACAGACGCTCAGTAACTACAATATATAAAGGTCGCTCTTTGAAGTTGTTAACTGTTTTATTTAAATATTTGTTCACTATCTTTGAAGAAATTTTTGGAACTATGAAAAAAAAACCATTAATTGAAATTTCTACACAATATTTTTTATTGTATTATCACAGTATAAAGAAATAAAACAATACGTCGATTGTAAATTTCATTTACGAACATTCTTACGTGAATTTTATTTAAAAATACAAATTTTTCGTAATACAGTAAAATCTCTCTATTGTGAACACTATTGTGATTATTCAAAAGTATTCACTAAAACGAGGCGTTCACTTTAGAGAGTTAAAGCATGATTTGCTGTGAAATAAAGAAAAGCTTCCAGAAAATTGTTGTAGCTTGCTGTACAAACCATTAGTTCACATTAAAAAAGAGGCATTTAGAGGAACAATCGCTCTATCAGACTTGAGACCGCTCATAATTAGGTGTTCGCTAGTAGAGGTTTTACTGTAATAATTGATCAATTATGTCAAAATTACAATTTTTTATCGAAACATACTTCTGACTGTAAAACTTTTTTAATAGATGAAGCTAAAACAGATTCAACCTGTCAATAGTTTTGATCAAAATTACAATGCATGCTGAACTCAGAAAGTTAGACAATGAGATCTCTCATAATTTTATTTTCTGATCGGTCGTCACCATTAAACAGTCAAATGAAATCCATACTTAAAATCACGATCTTTAATTGTTTCACATCAAATTTCGTCATAAGATTCGGATATGATTTTGCCTGAATAATCTTTGGAAAAATCATATATAAACACGATCACATTTTATTCTGTTTGATTTTTGGATCTAGATAGAAGGAAATTAGCAGAATATTATGTATAGAGAATATCTATTGCAAGAATGTGTATGATGTAAAGTTATAATTTAAAAAAACATAACGTAAGAAAGTCGTCATGCAGTGGAACGGATATTAGCTTTGTTAAGAATGAGTACGATATACAGCAAAGAACGATTGTAGATAAATGTTTGCGACCTGACAATAAGTGCATATTGACAAAATTGGTTTTTATGCTCTCCATATTTGGTTTTCAAGATAAAGGCTCTTGACACGACATCAGATACTACGTTCAAAGTAAATCGTCGAGAGAATATAGTATATTTACACAATAGTCCATTTCTTCTTCTAGTATCACTAATAAGGTTGTATAAACTGTGTAGTTATCTTTAGAGGAAGTTATTCATGTGTTTGTTCCAAAAGTTATGAAAATAATCCACTTATGTAAAAAGTTTTGGATTTCCTATATGAGGGAGAACAAAAAGGTATTTCAAAATTTCAAGAGATTTAACGCACTCCAAACGAGTTCAAAGGTGTATAGGACTTCTGGAAAGAATAAAGCTTGCACTTTTCTCTTGACATTATCACCCGTTATCTGCATATTTTTAATTGATTAACGTCAATTTGAAATCATTTACTTAGAAAATTATGTTTAAATATTCTTTATTTATGATCTATAGATGAACATAGTTTTAGTTTTAATAGTTCGAATTGTTAATAAATGACATTTTATTGAAAGAGCAACAATGCAGTTTATGCAAAGAAAATAAAATTCATGTTTTCAAAAGCATCTTATTTTATTTAATAGAATCCGTACGAAACGTTTTCTCAACGCTGTTAACGTAAATAAATAAATATAGAAGCCAAAAGTCGGTTCGAAATACATAGTTAATCTAACTGATTGTTCAATTAAATCTTTTCGTGCTAATGATTCTAAACTTTGCTCGTCTTCTATTCCCATTGTTTGATATATGACAAATATCGCATAAGGTAGGGCTGTTAACATAGTAGCAATTGTTTCTGTTATGATCATCGATGTAAGTTGTTGACCAATATGATGACGATGGAATCGGTTATTATAAGGGTTTTGACGTTGTCGAGCATTGGATGTCCTTATGTAGTCATTTCCATATTGACGATGCAATAGTCTGTAACTTTTGTGTATATTAATCAATGTTAAAATGCTGAAAATAATTATCAATGTGCATGGAATAAAACAATGGATATCAAAAATCCATGCAACCCATAAAATGAAATGTTTCGGCGTACAAAAATTGAATATGACAGTGAAATTAAAATAATGATGAACAGAAATCAAAGCCCAGATGATACAACTGCCAAAGCTGATCTTGATTGCATTCGAAATGTTACAAAATAGATTGCTTAATCGTCTATTAATTCTTTGTTTTAACCTTTTTGAGCTCATAAAATAACGATTGATAGATGCGAAAAGGAGTAATTGAACAGAAACTTCTGTACTCCACATTTGTAAATAATTTTGAATTTTGCACAATTGAATTGTTCCTTGTGAAGCCACTAATGATTCTTCGTTGTGTCTAATATATAAAATTGGGCTGGTAATAGTAATAGGAATCCACTTTTTTGATGGATAGAGACTCGATACTAGCATGAACACTGGACCATTATTAAGAGTAATAAAATCGACAATTGTAGCAGCAATTATATAAACAGTACATGGGCATGTTCGCAGGGGTTTTTGTAAAAAAAAGAGAATTTTAAAAAATGTACCAACGTTACCAAAGATAAGATAGAATAGACATATATAAATTGATATATTGCGTGAAATATTTTCCAGGTTTTTAACATAGAGATAAGTTTCGATAGAATTATTGAAATTCATTCTTGCCATTTCCCCTTCACAAACTGTCGAATGATGTTTAGGAAATTGTTATATTGATAAACAGATATATGCTAGTGCGTTGAATCAAGAATTAAAGTGACGCAAATTATCTTCCACTATTTAATTCAAGAGCACTCCTGTCATTTTATTCATATGAAAATATACTATCTAGTCAAACTACTGTGACCTATAGTAAGCGAAAGACGTAATTAAAGAATGAAGTCAACAAATGTGCTCTATGTAAATCATGTCTTCCTCATTATCTGAATCGTTACTCTATTGCAAGCTAGCAAAATGCCTGCAGCTCGTGTATAAAATGTAGGTGTATATTTAGAAACGATAGATCAAGAATACTATCATGTTTTCAGCGAATAACTTAGGCATATAGAAAATTGATATACTTGCTACGATAGTTGATTACAACGATTAAAATAGTAAAGCTTAACTTGACATTATTTCTCCAGCATGTTCGAATGGTAGAATAGAGTTGATAATAAAACTAATAAAGATGTGTGACGACACATTTCTGATAGGTAGTTCTCATTTTTATACAAATTTTAAGGAGATCTTTCTCCTTACTGATGTTTTTCGAGAATATTTCATCAGAAAGTTTCGAAACCTTTAGGACAGACAGATCTTGATAAGTAGAGAAAAGTTTGTCATAAGCTCAAAATTTTCGGATGATTCCCTGTACACTGAAGAAAATGTGCAAATCAAAACTTAAAGACTTTCGTGCTCGCACAAGAAACCCTTAGAAAAGTCTTTTTAAAGATTTCATACTTATATGCAAAACCTAAATAGGCTTTGTATTCGTTGCAATTCTCGAAACTTTCTTAGGTGTACAGGGTGTCCCATTTCGTGAAAATCGTCTGAGTAAAGATGATTAATCGCGATGTCGGCAGAAAAAATGGTCAACTAATCGTAATTTATTGACGATTCCATGTCAACAAGTCGGTTAAATAGTTAAGTAGAGCGTTTTATAGCATATATTTTGTTTTCAGATATTAAAGTAGCCATTTACCACAACTAATCACTCCAAAACTATTTTTAGAAATAGACAATTGATTATATCCAGAAGATTCATACGAAATATGTATTAGTCGATTCATTACGCAAATGCAAAACAAAGACAGACAATCTTTTGTCAGTTGTGCACGTGAATCATCTCAGTTTACTGCAAGAACTATTCAATATTATTTAGTATGATGTTGCACTTAAGATATGCTTTTCTTGTCTTCAAGGGTCAAGAGAAAGAAGTAGGCTTGTTAACCTTTGTAAATTAATAAAAATGAAATTATTCTAGAAAAGATACAATATTAGGCTCGGGATTGTCAATAAAAAACTAACAATGAAGTATATGTTACCTGATGTAAAACCGATTTAAATTTTCACTCAATATATTTCTGAACAAGTTTTTCTTATTACAGTGTCGTCGTTGGGTGAACATTGTCTTTGAAACATATCTCATAATATTCTATGTCGTTTCTTCAGTATAGGTTGGAAAACTAAACAAGTAACGCGACGCAAACGTCGCTAACCCTCTACTGAAAGGAATCGTGACGTTGTGCATCCCGTATGTGAACAACTAGCTACAGACCTACTATTCTCACATATATTTATGGAAACAAATATTAAAGAAATAGTCGATAGATATATGCGTGTATGATAAAGTTTCTAAAAAGACTCAAGAATGTGGACCAATGGGTTTGGAAACATCATCGAAAATTGNTAAATAGAATAGTCACGAGAAGAAGAATGGAATGATTGTAAACGTGATAGAATGAATCCGACAGAAGAAGAGAGAACATACTTATGACAGGACAGATATGTCCTGACATAACATGTCTCCTCAAACAGGTTTCATTTGAGGTTTTTTTTCAGTCTTTTCAAAATTCACTTATAGTTCAATAGTCACAGACAAATTTTCAGAATATATTCTGAAATAATACAAAATTCTGATTCTAATACCCTACCAATGCATTTAAATACGAAAAAAACAGCCAAATAGTTTGTCTAGAAACTTTCGGCATATCTCTTATATATGAATAATATTCTAATAAAAAATTCTTGGTTTTGTTTTTGTTTCTAGGACCTGCTGCTGAATTTGTACGTCCACTTGAAAATATTGAAGTAACAGAAAATAATGAAGCTATTTTTGAATGTCAATTATCAAAGGAAGATGCTCAAGTTGAATGGTGGTTTCGTGGAACGCCAATTGTTTCATCACAACATCATTTAATTGCATCACGTGGCTATGTTCGTCAATTGATTATACCAAAAGTTGCTATGAATGATGAAGGTGAATATTCAATACGTGTTGATAATAAAAATACATCAACTGCACAATTATTTGTCAAAGGTAAATAGAAAAAGAAAAAGAAGAATTTTTTTTATTTTATAAATATTTCTTCATAGAACAACCGATTATATTTCGTCGTCCTCTACGTTCACAAATTGTTGAAGAAAGTTCTTTAACAGTATCTAATAATGCTGTTTTTGAATGTGAACTTAATAAACCATTAAAACAAATGTTATGGTTTAAATCTAATGTTCAACATTTAGTTCCATCTGATCAATATCAAATAGAATCATTTGCAAATGGTCTTATTCATCGATTAACTATTCGTAATGTTACTTTACGTGATGATGGAGAATATACAGCATCAACTGGATTAAATACATCACAAGCTCGACTTACTGTTGAACCATTATTACCACTTTTCATTGTACCATTAATGGATGCACGTGCTAATACACGTGAAACTGTCAAATTATCATGTGAAACTAGTCATTCTTGTCAAGTTGTATGGATGCATCGTGGAAAGAAAATTATTGAAAATAGTTACAAATATACAATAGGTAATTATAGTAGATAACTATATTTCTCACGGCAAAAACAATAGAGACTTCAGTTTTGAAGTCTTATGAAGTCTATCCGAGTTATGTTAAGTCTTTGAGCTATAGCTTTTAATATATAGTGTGTACTCAAATTATTCAACAAATTTTTTTTTCATTGCTGTAAGTGCTAAAAAGAATCCAAATAGAGAAAATTCTTTCTAACAAGAATACGAAGAAATAAAAATTATTATCAGATTAGTAAAGATGAGAATTTTAGAAAAATAAAATCCTAGTTTTTCAGCACCTAGAGCGCATAAATATAATTTTGTTTAGACTACATAGAACGATTGAATAAACAATTCTATACTAAATGAAAGATCTCCAAGTTCTCTACGGCGCTTTTTGATTGAAGACCAAAAATGGTTTTTTGTATAAGAAATTAGAAGAAAACGACTTTAGGGATTGCCGTAAGACTGCTATATCTCAGCTAAAAAGCATCATATAGAACTCAAAGACATCTCATTGTGTAGATAATTGTTTACTCTATCGTTCTATGTAGTCTAAACAATATTATATTTACATGTTCTAGGTGTTGAAAGGCTAGAGTTTTATTTTTTTAGAATTTCCATCTTTGTAAATCTTATCGTAATTTTTATTTCCTTATATTCAATTGAAAATAAAGTTTCTTGACTCCTGCTGTTTTCTCTCTATGTTGAATCTGAACTGCAATATAATTTCAATGAAACTTTTAACTAATAAGCAAGTCATTATTGGTTGTTACTTTTAGAGTACAGTTCGTTCATTAGATGCTGAATCCGGTCGGATCCGGATCAGAGACTAACTCGACGTTGTCTATTTGTAATTTATGATAGATGAGTGAGAAAGGCCTAATTCAAATTTGATGGCATAATATAGTCATAATTACAATACCATACTGTAGTCAATTATCGATAACTGTTTTCTTACAATAGAAGATATTAATAGTCTGAGTCATCTATGTTATGTAATATCTTTGTATTCTAATAGAAAAAAAAGCAGATAGTAATTTTTAGCAGCTGTGATATTTTGAATATATCCAATTATTTCGAAATATTTAATTAATTAATAAAGTAAAAGTCTTTGGTAACAGCATTATTGTCGTTGAATTTATTCGAAAATTCTAGAATATCTAAATATATACATATTAAATAAATTATTATTTAATAAAAACATTTCTATTTAGGAAACTTTAATACTTCAACGTTACATACTCTTGATATTGATAATTTGGACTTGCGCGATCAAGGTGAAGTTTTATGTTCGATAGCGCAACATCCATCTGTCTCAACAACTTGTCAATTACTTGTTGAAGATGCACAACAACAATGTAAAAAAAAATATTTGTTTTTTTTTCACTTTTAATATTAAAATAAAATTATTTATTTAATATTTTAGCGGCATTTTTTACACCATTAAAACCATTTATGGAATTTACTCGTGGTCAAGATGCAAAAATTGATTGTGAAACATATGAATCAACATATTTTCAATGGTTTAAAGATGGTACAACATTAATGACAACAAGCAATAAATATCGAACAGTTAGTGATGATAAACATTCAACATTAATTATCAAACAATTCAGTGAATATGATGAAGGTAATATTTAATAAAGAAAGTTTTAAATTGTTTTTTTTTTGCAATTCTTCTTTTTGTTAATTTAAGGTGTTTATACATGTGTAACACGAGAAGGTCAATCAACATCAACAACAATTCGAACAGTCATTCAACGTGAACGAACACCACGTAGTGAAGAACGTTTTGGTTCATATATTAAAATTGATTCACCACGTGCAAGTCGAACACCTGAATTAGGTGGTTATCGTTCAAGTTTGAGTCCAACAGCTCCTCGTTATATTCCATCATTAGGTGGTGAGGATGAACGCCGTAGATCACCACGCTTTGAAGAAACACGACGAACAAAAAAGATTACAATACAAGAAACAAGTGAACAACGTTTACCTCCAACAACTAAAACAAGTAAAATAAAACAAAAGAAATTTATATTAATTTAAATTTCTTAAAAACAAAATTTATTTTTTTTTCGTTTTAGGCACAACAACATTTCGTCCAAGTGCAAGTCCAAGTCCACAACGTGAATATATTCGTAGTGGTTATTCATCAGGAACAAGTCCTGAAAGAGAACGTCTATCAATGCCACGTCATTTTTCTCCATCAACAACAACATATAAGTCATCAAATCAATTACAAGATTTTGGTCATTATATTGATCGTAGTTCACAATCTCCATCACCGTCACCAACACGTAAAACAAGTATTACATTTACAAATGTTAATCCATCAGCAAAAATGCCACCTGTCTATGAAGAACAAGATGAACATCAACGACATCGTACATCTGTTACGTTTTCACCAAGTCGATCACCAGCTCGACAACCTCCATCACGTTCATCAACATCAGCTGAACGAAGAGTTGTTGAAATGCAAATACCAATAAGGTAATTTTATTGATTTATATATCTGAAAAAAACAAAATAATTCTCATCTAAAATTTCTTTATCTAGTCCAACTATATCACGTCATGAATTGAAACATGCACCATTTCGTGAAGAATCTATACCGGAAGAACGTATACAATTTCTTGATAGTGAAACATATGATAAACGGACGCCAATATTTCATCGTGAAGAACCATATGGTTTAAATACGTCACGTGTACTAATAACTGAAACATTACCAATGGTACAAATAACTCAACCATTAGTTGATACACGTGTTGAACAAGGTAAACCCTTACGGCTTGTTGTTGAAACATCTCAACCATCAAGTGAAGCTGTTTGGTTTAAAACTGATGCTTATTCAACAGCACCTAATCAAGCTAAAAAAATTGATGAAAATGGAAAATATCATATGATAACACAAGGTACAAGACATATTCTTATTGTTCCAAATGCAACAGCTGATGACAATGGTGAATATATATGTCGAATACAAAATGCTATGACACGTGCACAAGTTCAAGTAACTAATGAAGATTTACAATTTATTCGACGTTTACCACAATCAATTGATGTTATTGGTGGACGTGATATTATTATTGAATGTGAAATGAATAAAATGGATACACAAGCTATATGGAAAAAAGATAATGAATTTATTCGAGTAAATTTATAATAAATAGATTTGTTTCTTTTGTTGTTTTAATTTTCTAAATATTTTTTTTGTTTTAGACTCCTCAAAAATTGATTCCAGTATCAGAAAATAAAAAACATAAATTAATTATTAAAGATGCAAGTGGTGAAGATTCAGGTCTTTATACAGTTATTGTTAATGATCTTGAATCAACAACATATGTTAATGTAACACCTGAACCATTACTTATATTAAAACCACTTCAAGATCAACGTGTACATTCAGGTGATACAGTTACATTTATATGTGTTTGTTCAAAAGCTCCTAAAACTGTTCAATGGTATTTAAATGGTTATCCATTACCTATAAATGAACGTTATCAAACAAAATTAATTGATCGTGAAATACAATTAACAATAAATAATGTACAAGAATCTGATATTGGAACAATAACATGTTGTTTAAATAATACAATAACAACAGCTAATTTAACATTAGATGATAAAGATAAAACATTGAAATTTATTAAATTATTAGAAGATGATGATACTGGAAATATTCAAGTTGATTCACCATTTATGCTTGAATGTCGAACAAATCGACCAACATATCAAATTCGATGGTTTAAAGATAATAGAGAAATAAGTCAATATGATCAAATTATGAAAACAATTTCCGATGGATGTACACATGTACTTCAAGTAAGTTTTAAATATTATTTTATATTTATTTCAAGATTTTTATGTTTAATTAAATAGAATCATAAGATTGAATATTTCTATTTTACTAGTGAAAGAATAATGTAATGTGATTTCATCACTTTTTAATTCATATTTTTGAGCATATAAATAAAATTTCTCGAATAAAATAATCTCAAAATGAATTCGTATTCATTGATTTGCTTGACAGCATTACAACAATTTTATTGAATTTTTTTCTATGAGATAGATTATTGCTAGCAAACAATTAGAGTAGAGATTTTTTTATCTGAAATTTTGTCTATCAGTCAATTTCATGATCTGAAAAATATCTTAAAAGTTTCAGCTGAAATGAAAGATTCTCTCTTGAGATATTCGACTTTCGTTGATGATGAGATGAAGATGAGTACTTTTTTTTTTTTTTTAGAAACTAATTCCAATTAGCAACTTTCACAAGCCACTTTTTTTGTAAATCTATCCGACGAAAAAATCTTTTACATTAACAAATCGATATCTAATATAATATTAGTAAATAGAGAACGAGATATTTAATTAAATGGTATATAAATCTTTAAATACACTGGCTAAATCACGATAAAACTTCATAAACTTATTTCAAATAATCTTTAATCCTAACTAATAATTTCGAAATTAATTTTCTTTTTGTTTTTTTTCTTCAAAAGATTTCTCGTGCTCAACCTGAACACACCGGTCGATATCGATGTGTTGTTGCTGATTCTCTTGAAACTACTTGTCATATAACAGTTCGTGAACCTGATTTTCGTTTTATTCAATCATTACCTTCAAATATTCAATTTTCACCTCAAACTGATCGATCCTTGACAATTGATGGTACACTTAATAGAAAACCAACACAAATGCAATGGTTTAAAAATACTATTGAAATATTTCCATCACAAAAATATGAATTAGTCAATGAACATCATGTTATTGCATTAATTATTCATGATTTATCATCAGATGATCAAGGTTTATATCGTTGTGTTATTGCTAATGGACAAGCAGTAAGTGAATGTCAAGTATCAATGAATTTAATGGCAGAAAATGATCGTCGTATTATAAAACCATTACAAGATCAAAATATATATGTACATGATACATGTACATTAAATGTTCAATTTCAAGGTGATGCACCTGATGTTAAATGGTATAAAAATGGTCAAGAAATTTATCCAAATAAAAAATATCGTTTAGTACAACATGGAAATGAACAAACATTAATTATAGACGATTGTCAATTAATACAGGATCAAGCTTATTATAGTTTGCGTTTAATTTCAAATCTAAAACTTGATTTAACATCATGTTATGTTCAAGTTAAAGATAAACATGTTAATATAACAAAACATCTTGAACCACAAAGATGCATTTTAGGACAAGAACAACAGGTTTGTATTTTTATATTCTAACGAGAAAATTATCTGAGCTGATATTCATCATTTGAGTTCATACTGGATTCGCAAGAAAGTCCTGACAAAACTAGAAAACTTTAAAAAAAAGTTCATGCCCATGGGCCTCTGAAGCCGATTATTTGACTGTTTTACGGAACTTTCGATCCAGCTTTAGATATTTACTGAAAAATCAAATAACGGCAGTACAATCTGAAATTTCTTTCATAAACAGATTGAATGACTAGTAGAATACCTTGAAAGATATCAGCCAAACAGAATAATCCTTCATTAAGATATTGAATTTCTAACAAAATAGACGTTTGCCCGGTCTAAAGGTCATGAAGAACCTTCGGCTTGCAATTAAATAGACTTCATTAATCCATATAAAAAGCCTCATTTCTTTAATTAGTTATTACATTCCATATTTGCTGAGCAAGACGACATGGTGCTAATCAGAAGGGCATAATGCTAAGTAGTATAAGTTTAGATCATACTATAGTTATAGCGTCCTGCCAAGCACTACGCTATCTTGCTAAGCAGTACGTCTTAATGAAAATTTATACTACTCAGCACTATAGAATCTAACAATCAATTAAACAAATAAAGCTTTTTATAGAAGTTAATGAGGTAAGTTTTAAGCCCAAGCCGAAATTCCTGTAACTCTACTATTTCATTGAATTGGATAGAATTAATTTTAGACTATAGCTTTCCTCTTCTTGGTTAACAATCATATCGTTTTTATTGAAATTTCGTTACAATAAATATTCTTCAAGAAAAAAAAAAGCTATAAAGAATAATCGTAACCGTAAAAGTTGGTTACGCCGAGTACTTGTCATATATCGACTCCAGAGACTCATGGGCACAAGACATTTCAGGACTTTTCTAGTCTTACCGAAATCTTCCTGTAAATTCAATATGAACTTAAATGATGGATAGGAGTTCTGATCGTTTCCTTGTAAAAAATTTTCTTCATAATTTCTTTCTTATTTTTTTTTTTAGGTTCAATTTGATTGTGAAACAACGCCAACAGATAAAAAACCTGTTTGGTTTTTTAATAATCGACAAATTGATAATACATCAAAATATGAATTAGTATCAACAGATAATACACATCATTTATTATTTATTAATCAACCTGAATTATCTGATCAAGGACAATATACAATATCATTTCCTGAAAGTGATCAATCATCAACAGCTAATTTACAAGTTTTACAAACACCATCAACATTAGAATTTATTCAACCACTTGATGAAGTATTTTTATGTGAAGAAGGTGATAATTTTGTACTTGTTACACGTACAAATAAACCAACACATGTTAGTTGGATGAAAAATGGTTATAAATTATCAATTAAATCAAAATTAGATGCATTACCAACAAATGAACATCGTTTAACAATTGAAAAAGCACAAAAAATTGATCATGAAGGTATTTATACATGTATTATTGATGCAAATAATGTTGCAACACAATGTCATGTTAAAATTCTTGAACGTGAATTACAATTAATTCAACCATTACCTAAACAAATACGTTTAAATGAACATGATACATTAACATTAATATGTGAAACAAATCGTAAACCGAAAAAAATTCAATGGTTTAAAGATCAATCAAATATACCATTAGAAACAAATAATTCATTAATGATTATTAATGCTGATGAAACATGTACATTAATTATAAATAATGCTAATAAATTTGATTCAGGTATATATACATGTCGTCTTGAAGATAGTTTAATAACTGTTTCGGATGTTAAAATACATGAATCTGCTGCACAATTTGTTGATGGACCACAATCATATCTTATTTGGAGACAACGAGAAGATGGACCTGTTGTTAATATTAGTTGTACATTAAATAAACCAAATGTACCAGTTAGATGGTTTCGTGAAAATCAAGAAATTCAACCAGAATTTAATAATAAATATGAAATTATTTCTGAAGGTACTATACAATGTTTATTGATACATGATGTACAAAAAGAAGATTCAGGTAAATATGTTATTTCATTGGGATCTACTTATCGTGCATGTCATCTTGATGTTATTGATGATACTGGATTATCAACTGATGATGAAAGTTTTGATCGAGTTGTACAACCTTTAACTACTCTTCAACGACAAGAAGTTATGGAAGGTTAGTTTAAATTTTATTTTTTTCAAATATAACTACTCGACAAGTTCATTTTTCAAAAAACAAAGCTATCAGCCATTATCATAGCGAGATTATGAATTTATCTATATGATAAAGCAGAAGATTTTGAAATATAAAATTCAGTCAGGCTTTAAACATCGGTATTTAAAATTCAATTGTCTTTCATAATAATCTCGCAATAAAGTTCAGTTACGTGGTTATGCCTATCATATTCTGTAATGAAGACTGTAGCGTTACTAATAAGGATGCATTGCCAGGTGTCCGCTAGATTTTAGGGCGAGGCTAGGTGTATCTTGAAAATATTTAAAACTTAGCTGCAGCCAGCAGTAAGAAAGTTCATGTTTTCGTATCTCAAGAAGACTGATTTTGAAAATTCGGAAATTTTTCATACAAACTAGTGTAATTGACATCTTTCTGTGAGCAAAGAGTTTCAAGTAGAAATTCGAAAATTTAGTCTTTCTGCAAATGGGATCCCGCAGTTGAAATTATTTAATCTCCTGAGAACACAAGCTATGAGCACGAATTCTTTTTATAGTAGACATAAATTAATAAGATCTGGCATAAAAGATGAACATGATTGACAATAAATTCGAACTAAATTTTTGTAGTTGAAATGTGAAAGAACAGAAACGATTAATCAGTAATCAAGAGAAACATTATAGATAGATTTCCATGGCATGTTTTCTGTTGTTTTTCATTCTGAAAACGAAGTATTGAAATATAAAAATATGTATATCAGAATTATAGATCAAGTTCAATATAATCAACTATTCGTCTATATCAATTCGACTATAATATACATAATAAGATTTGAATTTACGTTATCTTTTTTTTTTTAAATTTCAGGTGATTCTCTAACAATTGAAGTTTCACCTGATAGTGATTTTCAACTAATATCACCAAATCAATTTCGTTTATTAAAAAATAATCGTCCTATAATTGGCGATTCTCATATACAACTAGAACGTGATAATTCATCTGTTGATTCAAATCAATGGTTAATTCGTTTAGTTGATGTTGATTTAAATGATGCAGGTGTTTATTCAATTGAAATAAATAATCAAATTCGACAAGATCTACTTGATTTATTTGTTAAAAAACGTCCAATGCAACGACAATTTATAACATTACCAAAAGATGAATTTTATTTACATGAAACAATAACACTTGAATGTAAATTTGAACGACCCATAAAAACAAAAAATCTTCAACCAACATGGTTTAAAAATGGTCGTCCAATCCAACCATCTAATCATTATCTAATTAATGTTGAAAGTTCAACAAAAGATGGTCCAACAAAATATTCATTAACACTTAAAAATGTTGATTTTACTGATGAAGGTATTTCATTTGAAATCCTTTTTTTTTTTTAATTGTTTTTCTTTGTGTTTCTCTTTTAAGGCGTCTATGAATTACGTAGTGATTATCTCATTGTTGAAACTCCATTTATTCGTATTGTTGAAAAACCTATTCAACCTGCACCTTTACGTACAGTAATTGAAGGTGATAGTCTTCAAATAGATGTTAATATTGATCAAAATGAATATCAACAAATCTCACCAAATGATTTACTTAATCAAATAACAATATTAAAAGATAATCGTGCAATAATAAATAAACCTGAAATAAATAAATGGTTTGATGGTCAACAATTTAAAGTAGAATTAAAAAATTTATTATTAAATGATCGTGGTTTATATGAAATTGATATTCAAGGACAACGTACACCTATATGTTTACTTGATGTTAAAGAACGACAACCAGAAGTATTTTTACTTGATTTAGATCGAAATACATTTGAAGAAGGTGAAACAATACGTTTAGCATGTACATTTCCACAACGACCAGGTCCAATATCAAATTGGTTTAAAGATGGACAATTAATTCGTCCAAATGATAATATACAATTAATTGATGAAGATAATACATTAACTATTATTATACGTAATACCAAACGTACTGATTCAGGTGTTTATGAAGTTCGTATTGGTTCAGTTATTGCTCGAGCACCTATGATTCATGTTATACCTAAACAACAACTACAACAACAACAACCATCGGATATACCAGTACAAAATGTTCGAGAAGGTGATACAGTTACATTATCAGTTGAAGGTTTACAAACAAATGTTAGACCACAAGATATTCAATTATTAAAAAATGGAAAACCAATTATGTTTTCACAAAAACCAAAGGTAATTATTTGAAAGTTATAAAGTATAGAGAATACATAATTCGAGTGAAATCTTTTTTCGTTCATTTATGTATGATTTTACGAAGCTTGACGATCTAGTCACGAATATAGAGTTTAGTATTTCGACTTGATTATCGTTCGGCTAAAAAAAAGCTCGAATGATTAAATATGTAGCATTGGCAAATTGACAACTTATCTTTTTTTTTACAGAAAGTATCAAATTTCAACTATGGTATTTTTTCAAACATTATGAAAACATTCTATTATCATTGAGCATCAAGAATTGTGTAGAAAAATGTTGTTTCTTTAGATTTAGAATATATATATATAAGATTTACAAAATTTTCTCCAATCTAGATAGCTGCAACATACCTTATAGCACTTATTTCTGAGTATTCTTGTACAACTGTCCAGTTGAGATAGAAGTAAATGTCTTATTTCATTAGAAATATTAAATTACGAACTATAAAAGTACTTATTTAAGTTTTTTAGATTCGGTTTTATTGTTGAGAAAATCGGGTTTTCTCGATTTGATAGCAAAGTCAGATTTGTGTTAAGTGATTTTTGTTACTATGGCTTAGTTGTAAACTAAAATAGATTGCATATCCAGAATTAGCATAAAAAATTGTATTGAATCATATATTTTATAAAAATTGTTTTTACCAAAAATTACCCTCTAAGAAATAAGAGGTATATTTTCCATTGGAAACATTCATTACTAAAACATATATGAATGGATGCATTATTTGACGTTGGTTTCGAATATGCTATTGAGTTCGCTCTTTAACTCAACCATGGTAATAGAAATCGATTAATACAAACGAGTTTTTTTTTATCTAATTTAGCCACCAATGGCAAAAAATCCCATTTTTTTCAAGAATAAAGCAAAATCTAAAAAACCTAAATAAGTACGTTTGTAGGTCACAATATGACAATTCTAATGAGAAAAGACACTTACTTCTATCTCAACTAGATAGGTTTACAAGAATACTCACAAATACGTCCTATGTTTTTTCATTCTCCACATCTTATCTAATTGATTTAATTATATTGTTTGGTTATGTTTATTTTACTTTAGACATCAATAAAACAAGAAGATGATAAACTTCGTATTATATTACAAACATTAGCACTTGATGATTCAGCTATATATAGTGTACAAATTCAAAATGATATTCATCCATTAGCACAAATTGTTGTTGAACCACGTCAACCTGAAATTCAAGAAATGCAACTTGAACAAGATACATTTTTTGTTGGAGATACAGTTACACTTGATTTAGAATTTACAAATGAACCAACAGAACAACCACGTTGGACAAAGGATCATATTCCACTTCGAAATAATGATCGAGTATCAATCGAAAATATTGGAAATAGAGTTACTTTAATCGTACGAGACTTACGATTAGATGATGCTGGTAAGTTTATTAAAATTTAATTGAAAATCATTAACTAAATTGAACACTCATTTTCTTTTGTCAAATTCATATTATGTTTTTCACAGAAAAATGTAATAAGTGCAAGTTTTAAGTCGAGGCTTTGCAGTCCTCTCTTCATAGTAACACAAAGACACAGGCGTCACGCTCCTTTTCCAGAGTTCATTCATAATGAAAAAGGTACTGAGCGGCATTACCATTAAGACTTAGAATATGGTACAAAATTCTAGAATAATCAGAAGATTTTCTCAAAAAATGAAAAATAATGAGAATAGCAATACGGCGAAGAACCAAGGTCTGCTCGGAGTGCAGAAATAAATACCAGAGATCGTTTCTAGCATGATCAATTATCCTTGGAAAACAACAATAGTCTGCTGGAGATTTTTTCCTTGATGTATTTTGTAATAATATGATGGAGCCAAGTAGCACATATGAGTTCCACATGTTGGTTCCATAAGCGTTGCACTGACGAACTTTTTACGTATTTCTCTATGTTGGAATTTCATTCTGAAACAAAAAAAGACATTAAAGTTAATCTATGGTTTGAAAAATTTCGATTTTACATTTTGTAGTATTGAATTCATCTATGTGTTTTCATTAGAGAGTAGAGATCAAACAACAAATAATACATGTTATTGAAAAAGAAGTTTAATTATATTTGAATCTCAAACAGTAGATAATTATTATTATTTAAATTGTTCAGATAAAATCAAACAAAAAAAGATATCGTAATCTCAGAAATCCCACTCTAAATTGTACCATATGATCCTTGAAAGGTCTTATCATCACATAAGATTTCCTATCGCCTTACAGTAATACCTCAAAAGACAGCAAGAGCTTTCAAAATTCGCATAATAATACGACTTATGTGGAGACTTCTGAAGTTATTCCCTTCTGATTTCAATAACTTTTTTTTTCTATACATACGACATGAGGTTCTAATAAAACTCTGAAAAGGGTTTGGATTCCTATTGATATTTGACTAAGCTATCTAATAGTTAATATGTTTACTTTCTAGAAATTCGAAGTTTTCGGAAAACTCGTACTTTCAAATTTTGATCTGAAATTTTATTTATACAGAGAACTCAATTAGACTAATTAGTTACCATTAAAAGATTTACTAGCTTTCAACAAAGTCTCTTCGAGATATAGGCTCTTTTTCATAGATAATGTATAGACTATGAATTTTTCATGAAAGTTCAGCTACTTAAGTTTTCTATAGGCACAAAGTTTCAGATCAAAATTCGAAAATAGAAGTTTTTCGAAAACTTGACACTGCTAGAAAATAAATCAATTAAAAATCCAATAGCTGAGTCAAATATCAATACGAACCAAAATCCTTGTAAAATTTTTCTTCGAACACTATATAGTTGTCTATAGATAAGAAATCCTTGAAATCGGAAGAAAGAAGCTGAAGAGATTCTCTTGTTAATGTAAGCTTTCTAAGACTATGGTTCTTTGTATAAATATTGCGTGATTGTTTGATCTTCAATCCTACAAATTACAGATTACAAAAAGAAAAATTTCAATTCTTTTATATATTTTAAAAATCTTCATCAATTTTGTTTTACAGGTGTTTACGAAGTTCAAAGTGGTCCATTAATTGTTCGTACACCATTTATAAACGTAACCGAACGTCCACGTGATATAACTGAAGTTGTTGATGAAACTATAACATATACAATAACACCAAATCGTCCATTACCACCTGTTGAAACACAATCTTGTATAATAAAAGAAGGTGATGATGTTACACTTAAAATAAGTTCTCCAACACCAATAACAATAAATGATGTTAAATTATATAAAAATGGTCAACCAATTCCAAGTGATAATGAAACTCGAAAACATCTTCGTCTTGAACAATTTGGCAATAAAGATGTTCGTTTAACAATAACAGATGCACGTTTAATTGATACCGGAGAATATAGTGCATTAATAAATGATAATATTCAACCAATAATAAAACTTGATGTTCAACCACGTGAAATGCAAATACAAATGATTAATTTACCACAAGATACATTTAATGAAGGTGAAACATTAAAAATTGATTGTCGATTTCCACAATCAAATATAAATAGAGATTATCATTGGTATAAAGATAATCAACCATTAATACCAAATGATCGTATTGTAATGAACAAAGATTCATTTAATGATTCATTAATTATTCTTAATTTACAACCAACTGATGCTGGTGTTTATGAACTTCGAAATCGTAATAATATTTTACGTACACCTTTAATTAAAATAATTCCACTAGAGAAAATAATCAATATCGAAGAATTACGACCACAAGTTAGTTCAAAACTTGTTCATGAAGGTAAAAAAAAAAATTCTTTTTTTTTTTAAATAATTTTGTTTTTGTTTTATTTATTCTCTTAGGTGATACTGTAACTTTTGAATTAACACCAAATTTTGATGTACCATTAAATAAAATTGAATTATTTCATGAAGAAAATCCAATAACACATGAACCATATGTTCATATGAAAAAAGATTATAAAACAAATTCAATAACTGTACAAATTGAAGATATTAAAATACCTGATCAAGGTTTATATACAGCTATTGTACAAGGTCAATCAGTACCATTAGCTGAATTAATTGTTGAACCACGACCAATAGTAATACAAAATATGGATTTACCAAAAGATGTTTTTTATACAGATGAACGTCTTGAACTTGAATGTGAATTTCCACAAGTACCTAAAGGTGATCAACCAAAATGGTTTAAAAATAATCAACCATTGCAATCAACACCAAATATACATTTAGTAACGGAAAATAATGGACGAAAACATTCATTAATTATTGATCATTTAAAACCAGAAGATACAGGACAATATGAATTAAGAGTTAAAGGTTTAATTGTTCGTACACCATTAATACGTGTTTTACAACGAGAACAACCACAAATTGATCAACAACCAAGTCCATATTTTGTTACTGAAGTTGAAGATGAACAAGACAAAAATAAACTTAAACCTGAAGCACCACAAAGACGATTAAGTAATGTTATTATTGAAGATATCACTAATCAACAAAATATTCCATGTAAGTTTAACACCAAATTAGGTCGAATGAGGACTTAATCCAACATGAAACTATGAATTGAATTCCTTTTATTGTATATCCAAAAAAAAGAACACTCGTTATACATCACCGACATTTAATATAGACTCTTGTAGTGATATTCTTTAACTTATTTTATCTATCAGATGATGATGTGGAAAAATTCGAATTTATTATTACCTCTAAAATACGTATTGAATGAAAGAGATGAATTAGTTTTTCTTTTAAATTGAATTGATTTTAATTCTGTTAAGTTAATCTATGTCGTTATTTTTTTATTTTATTTAGCTAAACCAACATCTCGTGAAAATACACAACGAGTTCAAGAAGGTGATTCAATACAATTAAAAGTTGTTAGTACACTCGATGTCAAACCAAATCAAATTCGTTTAATACATGATGGTGCACCAATTGATTTGAAAAAACGTTCATCAATTGTTGTTGATCGTGTATCACCTGGCACATATGCTGTATCATTACTTAATCTTCGTGTATCAGATTCTGGTCAATATGAATATGAAATTGAAGGTGCTCCAACACCTAAACATTTAGTTACACTTTATGTGGAACCACGACTAGTAAAAGAAAAAACTCTTGATATACCACAAACAATATTTAATGTTGGTGAATCAATTTTATTTAAAATTGATTTTGATGAAAAAGATCAAATTACGGAAATACCTAAATGGTATAAAAATGAAATGATTATACCAATTGATACAAGTTCAAGACATAAACAAACTATTGATCGTATTAATCGTACACATACATTTGAAATTTATAATTTACAATTAGAAGATAGTGGAGTTTATGAAATGCGTACACCAAACTTAACAGTTAAAACGCCTGAAATTAAAATAATGCCTAAACCAGGACCACAACCAACCGAAGAAGAAATTCGTCCATCACAAGAAACTGTTCGACAATCATCTCTTACAATTGATATGAAAAAACCTAAAGAACAATTAGTGTATGTTGAATTTTGTTGTTTCTTTAATATATATTTACAAAAAAAAATATATATATTTTTTTTTTAAAGTGAATCAAAACCAGTCGAAGAATTTCAACCCGTTGATGAAAATGTACCAATTCATGAAGTAACTGAAGGTGATATGATGCATTTAACTGTTGAAAAACCTTCAATTGTTCATTTATCTGATATAAAATTATTTAAAAATAATCAACCATTATTATCATCAAAAAATATTCGTATTGAATCAACATCATCAACAACAATTGATATTAAATTTTCACCTGTTGAATTAATTGATACTGGTTTTTATTCAATTAAAATACGTGATCAAATTCAACCAATAATGCAATTAAATGTACGTGAAAAACCTATTCAAAGACAAATTATGAATTTACCACAAGATACATTTATTGAAAATGAAACATTAACTATTGAATGTAAATTTGATTCGAAACCAGATGCACAATTTGTTTGGACTAAAGATGGTTCTATTTTATATAACGATTCAAGAATTATTATTAAACAAAAAAATGAAACATTTACATTAATTATTAAAGATTTAAAATTATCTGATCAAGGTGTTTATTCACTTGAAAGTAAATATTTAATATTAGATACACCATTTATTCATATTTTACCTAAACAACAACAACAACCACAACCAACTGTTCAAATTCAACATGAGGAAACGATAATAAATATGCAGGTTAGATTATAATATAAGATAAATGTGCGTGTGACACACGATCTAAAATGACTGTTGAAGTAAAGGAATAAAAATTTGGATATTGTTCGCTTACCGACCGTGATCGACACTAGATAGAAACTATCACAAATACTAGTTAAACAAAATTACAGATCTTGACAGACGTTATTGATATACGAGCACTGATTGCATAATCAATAACATTTCGTTTTAATATATGAGTTACGTCCTGATTGCATTTCTCGAGGATGAAAAAATAAATAGATAGTGAAGTTATGTGTCCCAAAATAGGTAAAAGAAAACAAACTCTCTGTGAAAAGTAATATCAGTTACATAGTGTTTCGAATTTTAATCTCATAGGAATTGTACTAACAGATTTTTTTTTCAATTAATTATGATTCGTTTCTTTTAGCCAAGTGTAACAGTTGCTGATACAGAAGATAAAATTGAAGAAATAAAAATAAAAGAACAACCATTAGAACAAACTCCGGCACCTACAGCTCAAATTGAAGCTCAAAAGAAGAAACCAGATGAAACAATAACGACAACAACAACAGTTGAACAACAACAAGAATCATCAGTGCAAGTTAGTTCATCTGTTGTTCAACCTGAACAAACAAAAGAAGATATTAGTGTTCAAACTCAAGTAATAGAAGAATGAATACATTAGTCATATTATTCTTTGTTTCTTTTTTTTTAGCAATCGGTTCCAGTTGAACAAGTTGTTGAAGTTAAAACAACAACTGTTGAGGAAACTCAACCACAACCAACAGTAACTGTAACCGAACAACAAGAACAAATCATTGAACAAGTAAATATTTATTTTATTTCATTTATTACATATAAATATAAATTCTTTTTTTTTTAGCCAATTATTACTCCTGTCGAACAACCAAAACCTTCTGTTGAAACTCAACAAGAAAAACAAAAAGAACAACCTGTGACAACAACGACTCAAGTTGAAGAACAACCTTTACTACAAGTTACAAGCGATGCATCATCAACTCAACCAAAAACAGAGGAACAAGTAAGTTTAGTTTTTCATGTTGTGCATCTTTCATTGTTTGCTGTGAATATAACAAAAAAAACACGCGTTCATTACCATTTCGATATAGTCATTCGTTGTGACTATCATTCACGTAAACAAAATCATCATCTTTTGCGTTGTATTAAAATATATAAAATAATTAAAGCATAACGTATAAGAGAAAAAAATCATTCAATCCTATGGGAACAAACACAATTATTTATTTTAGCCAATTTCGACAACTGAAACGATCGTAATTGATGAAATAAAAAGTTCTACTATTGAAAAACCTGTTGAACAAGTATGTTTTGCAAGAAAAACCCGTTCCGTACTGCTTTATAAAGAGATAAACGCATGTCATAAAATATATCATGAGATACGCATTCAAATTTCGAAGAACAAACTTGGTTTTCTTTTTTCCGAAAAAAAACATAACATATTTTTAGCCATCCGTTACTCCTGTAATCGAAATTGTTGAACAAAAAAAATCGATTGAAAAACCACAGACTACTACAGAGATCATAACGGAAGAAAAAACTACTATCGAGGATCAACAAGTATACGAAACCAAACCTCAAATACCTGAAACGACAAAACATACCGACAAACCAGATGAAAAGGTAAAATTTCAGACAATGAAAACGATACAATCTTTCAGTTCACAAAACTATTTACAGACAATACTTACTACTGATATCACGACTTCACAGGAACAAATAAGTCCTGCCGCGACTACCGAACAAGAAACCATACAAACTGAAAAACATCCATCTACAGTTACAACAGAAAAACAGATTGAAACTATTGTCTCCGTTGATCAAAAACAACCAGAAGTACCTATTGACACTGTGAGCAGATCGGAAGAACAACAAGAAACAATTACCGCTACCGAACAGATTGTCGAGCCACAATTCGAAAAGAAGCCTGAAATTGGAAAGTCAACAGTTGAACAAACAATAATCAAAGAAGAAGAAACAAAAATAACAGCAGATACTACTCCGTCAATAGAAGAACGTAAACCTATCGAAGAACAACCAAAACAAGAAGCCCCAAAACTACCAGAGACAGTGGTCGAAGAAACCACTACTACAGTCCAAAAAGATATTATTGTTGAAGAAGATAAACCAACGAAAATTGAATCAACTAAAGAAGTTACTGAAGTCGGAGAGACACTTCCTGAAGTGTCAATTACAACAGTTCAAAAAGAAATAGAAACTACAGAACAGCAGTTAACTTCAATTGAAAAACCAACAGTTGAACAAACTATCACAACAGAAGAAGTAACCACAATTGAAACTATTCCAACAGTTCACGAAACTGTTACTACTACAGAAGAAATCGCTGAACAAGATGTTTCTCCTGTAATAGAGGAGACACAAAAGCCTACCGAAAAAACACCAACCGCTGAAGAAATTAGCACTACTGAAAATGCCATTGAAGAAAAACCGAAGCCAACAACTACAACGATCGAAGAAGTGACTACCACTGAAGAGATTATTCAAGAAACAAAAGCACCAGTCGATGAACAACCGAAACATCCTATTGAGACTACTGTCATTGCAGAGAAAGTTATTGAAGAAGCACCAAAAGTACCTACTGAAATTATCGAAGAGAAATCAAAAACAAAACCCACTGAACAGATAACAACAGTCACTGAAGAAGAAACTATAAAAGACGAAGAAAAACCATTAGCTGAGCAACCTACTGAAGAAAAGCCTACACTTGAACAAATTGTCGCTGACGTACCAACTACTACTATTGAAGAAGAATTAACTTCACCCGAAAAACCAACTGTTGAACAAACTATCACAACAGAAGAAGTAACCACAATTGAAACTATTCCAACAGTTCACGAAACTGCTACTACTACAGAACAAATCACTGAACAAGATGTTTCTCCTGTAACAGAGGAGACACAAAAGCCTACCGAAAAAACACGAACCGCTGAAGAAGTTAGCACTACTGAAAATGCCATTGAAGAAAAACCGAAGCCAACAACTACAGTAATCGAAGAAGTAACTACCACTGAAGAGATTATTCAAGAAACAAAAGCACCAGTCGATGAACAACCGAAGCATCCTATTGAGACTACTGTCATTACAGAGGAAGTTATTGAAGAAGCACCAAAAGTACCTACTGAAATTATCGAAGAGAAATCAGAAACAAAACCCACTGAACAGATAACAACAGTTGCTGAAGAAGAAACTATAAAAGAAGAAGAAAAATCATTAGCAGATCAACTCACTGAAGAAAAGCCTACAGTTGAACAAATTGTCTCTGACGTACCAACTTCAACAGTTGAAGAAACGATCACAACAGAAGAAGTAACTACAACTGAAACTACTCCAACATTTCAGAAAACTGTTGCTACTGCAGAACAAATCATTGAGCAAGATGTTTCTCCTGCTATAGAGGAGAAAGAAAAACCTACTGAAGAAGTTATTCAAGAAGAGAAAGGGCCAATCGAAGAACAACCAAAGCAGCCCATGGGAACTACTTCCACTATAGAGGAAGTGATCGAAGAAGCTCCAAAAGTACCCACTTCAGTCGTCGAAGAGCAACCAGCTCAAACACAGTTAATTGAAGAAGTGACTAAAACGAAAGAAACAATCCCTGAAACACAGACGGTGACTGTTGCAAAAGAGATCGAAACTGTTGAAGAACAGCCATCTTCCATTGAGAAAACAACTGGTGAACAACCTGTTACAAAAGAAGAAGAAAGGACAATGATAGAAACTACTCCAACAGTCACGGAGACTGTTATTACTACAGACACGCCATCAGAGGAAATCGTACCTGATCAAGAGCAATCAAAACCAACTACTGAAGTCACAGAAGAATATAAAACTCATATTACTGAACAAGTAATACCCGAAAGTACAGTTTCATCTGTAGACCAAACAACGAAAACTATTGAAATAATTCCAACTGTGGAAGACAAACCAAAAGTACTAACTTCTACCGTCGAAGAAGTTACACAAGAACAGCCAACCGTGGATGAGCAAGTAACACCCGCAATTGAAACAGTTTCAACTATTGAAGACATAACTACAATAGAAAAGGTTGAAGAGCAATCGGTGGTAATCGAAGAAACTCCGATAGCACCTCCCACAGTTACTGAAGAAGTTGTTGAAAAGAAAACTGAAATAAAGCCTGTTGAGCAAATAATTACTGTCACTGAAGAACTGTCAACAACTGAACAAGATAAACCAACAATATCTCAAGAAGTAGGAAAAACGACCGAAGTTGAAGTTTCGACTACGACTTTACCAGAACAAATCACAACGACTCAAGAAGAATTGACTAGTCTCGAAAAACCTACTGTAGAACAAATAAACGAGGAAAAACCGATTACAAGTACTGAAGAAACTTTCACTATTGTTGAAGATGTTCTTCAGAAAGACATAGTACCGTCAGCAGAAGAAACTGTTGAAACTGCCAAAATAACTCCACTGACCGAAGAAGTTGCTCGAGTTGAACAGGTTCAAGAACAACCTATACCAGAAGATCAGACTCCTGAAGTATCAACTACAGTTGCCCAAGATGTAGTTGCAGAGAAGCCTGCAACGAAACCTACGGAACAGATGACAACTACCACCCAAGAAGATGTCGCTATTGAAGAAATGAAACCAGATATGATTCAACCAGTAGAAGAATCCACAACAGAAGAAATCCTTTCTGAAACACCGATAAAACCATATGAAGTTCGTCATGATACTAAAGAGGTTATAACTACTACAGAGCAAGTACCAGAACAAAATGAAGCACCTATTCAGGAACAATCAAAAGAGACTGTCGAAACAGTAGAAGACAAGACTACTACAAGTATTGAACAGCCAAAATTACCAACGCCCATTATTGAGGATAGAACTACTACTGAAATCGCTGTACCGGAAGATACAGCATCGGAACAAGAGCAAATAATAACTCCGATAATTCAACAGATGGATGTCGAACACCAACCGGTAGTGACAGAACCAGTTATACAAGAAAAACCGGTCACACCCACTACAACTACCGAAGAAGTGATCGCCACTGAAGAGATTATTCAAGACACGAACGTACCAGTCGATGAGCAACCAAAATATCCCATTGAAACTGCTTCCACTACAGAGGAAGTTATTGAAGAAGCTCCAAAAGTACCAACTGAAATTGTCGAAGAGAAATTAGAAACAAAACCCACTGAACAGATAACAACAGTCACTGAAGAAGAAACTATAAAAGAAGAAGAAAAACCATTAGCAGATCAACTTACTGAAGAAAAGCCTACAGTTGAACAAATTATCTCTGACGTACCCACTACAATAGTTGAAGAAAAAACTACAACTGTTGAAAAAACTGAAACTATCACAACGAAAGAAGAAACTATTACTAAAACTATTCCAACAGTTCAAGAAACTGTTACTACTACAGAACCAATCACTCAGCAAGATGTTTCTCCTATCGTAGAGGAGACACAAAAACCAACTGAAGAAAGACCAACCGTTGAAGAGGTCCCGACTACTGAAGAAGTTATAAAAGAAAAACCAAAAACTTCTACAGCACCTATCGAAGAAACAATCATCACTGAAGCAGTTATTCAAGAAGAGAAGGAACCAGTGGAAGAAAGCGTTCAAAAGAAGTCGGAAACAAAGCCTCTTGAAGAGCTAACTACAACTGTTCAGGATGAGAGCATCCTCGAAGAACAAAAACCAACGATAACCAAACCAACTGAAGAGACATATGTGACCATTTCAGAAGTGTTCGCTACAGCGCCTGAAGAAAAAGTAGAAACTGTTGAAGAAGAATTACCTTCAATTGAAAAACCAACTGTTCAAGAAACTATCACAACACAAGAAAACATTGAACAAGATATTACTCCGGCAATAGATGAGACACAAAAGCCTACTGAAGAAATACCAATTGTTGGAGATGTGTCTAATGTAGTGGAAATAATCGAAGAACAGCTAACACAAACCATGGTTATGGAAGAAGTGCCTGAAAAAAAACCTGATACAAAACCTACCGAAGACGCAACAATAACACTTCAACAAGAAATTACAAGCGAAGAAGCGAAACCAACGACATATGATACAACTGAAAAGAACATCACTGAAACACCTACAGTAACTACCGAAGAGAAAACTGTCACCGTTGAAGAAAAATTATTTTCCGATGAAAAGCCTAATCTTGAACAAATACTAACCGAAGAAGACCAACCCATTGCCATTACCGAAGTAGATACGCTTGATCAAGAGAAAGTAAGCGCGCTAAACGCCGCTGCAAAAAATACTGCAAGAAACGAGACGCTTCAAATATAATTTCATTTTGCTACAGCCTAGGCGTGACGAAGCTTTCGCTCTCCCATTTTCTTTACTCGCTTTTTCGAGCTCTTTCTATATATCTATTGCATGATGTTCAAATAACTATCGTTTACATCTAAACGTATTATTTTAGTCATCGCGACCTGTCGAACTACCAGTACAACGAGTGCAAGAAAATACGAACCTAATACTAACTGTTGAAACACCTATCGGTACAAAGCTTGTGATTTTGAGAGATGGTGTCCCGTTGCCTGTATCTGAACATGTAATACAGACACCCATTTCACCCACAACAACCATAATAGAAATTATCAAAGCCACGCCCGAAGATGAAGGCGAATATACAATAATTGTCGATGAAAAAGAACAACCACTGATGAAACTAGAAGTCACACCACAACCAGTCGTTCGACAAGAGATGCAGTTGCCAAAAACACAATTCAATGAGAAAGAGACTCTCACTATTGTTTGTCAATTTGATGCTACACCTAAAGAACCATTCACCTTTCTACACAATGAACAACCAATTGTACCAGATTCTCGTGTCACTACCACCATAGAAGATAATAAATATACAATTGTAGTAAAAAATCTTCGTCCAGAAGAAGATGAAGGTGTTTATTCATTTAAATCAGATCATTTGATTCTCGATACACCGTCAATTACTGTTGTTCCTAAAGAAAAGAAACCTAAAACAGAAACAACTACTGCCGAAGAAGAAACACTTGCACTTGTACCACAAGAGCAAAAGCCTGAGACAGTCGTCGAAGAAGTAAAAGAACTCGTACCCAGACCAGAAGAGCAAAAGGTAGGACTAGCTACATCATTTTCTTAAATATCGTACTCCACACGTGCCATTATTTAGCCTGAAGAAGAAATTGAAGTTCCAACTCAAGAAGTTCAAGAAGGTACTACTGTTACTCTGACAGTACAAATACCTGAAGGTACAACTCATAGAATAATAATACTACTGAAAAACAAGCAACCAGTAAAACCTTCAGAACGTATCACAATCACCGAAACATCACCAACAACTATCGAAATTCAAATAATTAAAGCTAAACCTCAAGATGAAGGCAAATATAGCGTTCTCATTGATAAAAAAGAACAACCAATAATAAAACTAAAAGTTATTCCTAAACCAGTTGTTCATCAAAAAATGGATATACCTCAAACAACGTTTAAGGAAGGAGAAACATTGACTATCATATGTGAATTTGATTCTACACCTGAAGAACCACTCATCTTAATACACAATCAAGAACGGNTTAATAATCCTAAACAAATAACTGATTGGTATTTAGATGATGATCTTATTGAAGATAATACTCCTCGTTTTGAAATTATTAACAATGGTCCAATAAGACAATTAAAAGGTTAATATTCTTTTTTTTTATAGAAAAAAACAAAGAAAATAACAACGTTTTTTTTTTGTTTTTAAATAGTTCATAAAGCAGAATTAAATGATACTGGAAAATATACATGTAAAGATCGTCAAAGTGGTGTAACAACAGATAGTGATGTTAATGTTGCTAAAGCTCCTATTCGTATTATAAAAGGTTTACCAGAAACATTAACTGTACCTCAAGGTAAAATTTCTAAATAGTTTTTCTTTTTCTTTCTATAATCGAGTTCGTTGATATTCATCTGATTCAGTTGAAGGATGAGTTATTATTATAAAAGGAGATCGTTTTTGTTCTTGATAAAATTTAATTCGATGTTGTTGTTTAACTTGTGTAAGTAGAAATATTAAAATAGAATAACAATTAAGTGTCATAAATGAATAATTAATTAAAATTATCTCAATGAATCGTTGTTTTATATTCATATATATTCGTATAAATGAATATATATTCATTGGACATATTGATAACATATAAAAAGCATTATAAATATTTAAATGAATAAGAATTCTTTGAAATTTATTTCTTGAACGTTTTCGATTTAAAGAAATTCGTATACGATTTGTATGAATTTCAATTCGATAAATAAGAAATAAAATAGATATTAACATAAATATAAATGGTATTAAAAATTGTAATAAAAACCATATTATTTGAAGTTTTAATGATTCAAAACAGCCTAATAAATGTAGAGAAATATCTGATGAACATTTTGATAAAAGAATAAATAAAGTTATTACTAGACTACATGAGGAAAATATAATTAAAAATGGTGTAAATTGTCTTATCCATGTTAGTCGTATATTTTGAGAATAAAATATAAAAAATGTTCGTTCTAAACTTGCATATGCTATTGAATAACCGATACCAGCTGATGCGACAAAAAAACTTATTAAATTAAAATTACATAATAAACGAAATTGATACTCAGATATTATTGATAATATTGATAAAAAATAACCTGTTGATGTATGTAATGGTGTACTTATTAGAGATAAAACTAAAGAAAAACCAAGTGAAAAATGATAAACATATGTTAATTGCGTTCGTTGATAATTATAACGAAAGTAACGTATTAAACTTAAGCATGAGAATATTGTACCAATTAATGTAGTTACCCATGTAGTTACATAATATTCGAAATGAAATGGATAAATATTAGTAGTATTAATGGACGCTGTTGTGTTCATTGTTTTATTATTGAGTACAACAAGATCATAAAAACTAATGAAAAAAGAAAAAGCAAACTTTGACAGAAAAATTTCTATTTTTACGGAAGAAAAAAAGCTACAGGAAAAATAAAGGAAAAAATATGCATTTATACTTCATGAAAGGATGCACTATTATTATCGTAATCAACGACTTATTCATAAAAAAAAAAAATAGACTAACTAATGAGTATTTCTGTCAGAAGATAATGATGAAGTTATACCAATTAATTTGTCATGAAAGTATTACAGAAAACAGAAGAAAAAAAAAATTTTAATCCGTCATGATAATGATGCAACGATAATTTTAAGAGCAAGATACTGTCACTAAAATAAATTGAGAAAATTACTTCTACTAGAAAAAAAAAACATGAAGTTTTTCTTTTCTTCAAATCTAAACAAAACATTTCATTCTAAATTGAAAAATTTTCGTGGCATTTTTTTTTTCAGGTGAACAATTAAAACTTGACGTTGAATTATCACATCCAAATATTCCTGGTTGTCGTTTTATTAAAGATGATACAAATACTCCTATACGAAAAGATAAACGAACACGTATTACTACAGACGGTACACATTATACACTTATCATTGATAATGTTTTACCTATTGGTGACAGTGGTACCTATGAATTCATAGGTCTAAATGATACATTAAGATCAGCATGTAAAGTTACTGTTAAACCTTTACCAAGTAAAATAACTCAACCATTGAAAGATGTTACTTTACAAGAAAATCAAAATTTATCTCTTGAAGCGCGTGTTGATAATGAACATGCGCCAGTAACTTGGTTTATTAATGGAAAAGAAATACCGCCTGGTGGTGATGCACCACATATAACAATAATGTCAAAAGGACGACGTCATACATTAGTTGTACAAAAAGTTAATGCTAAACAAGATGCTGGACAATATGAAATTCGTACACCCGATGACGCTAGTTCATGTCAAGTTACAATTGAAGAAGCTGGTACACCACCAGCAGATTTTACAAAGAAATTACAAAATATTGAAATAGAAGAATTTCAAACAATTGAATTTAAATGTGAAACAAATCGAGATAATCTTCCTGTTGAATGGTTTAAAGATAGTAAATTAATTGAACCAAATGAACATTATAAATTAGAAAATAATGGAAAAATTCATTCATTAATTATAAATAATGTTTTAATTAATGATCAAGGTTCATATACATGTCAAATTAAATCAAATGGAAAAACAACAACAGCTACATTAAAAGTTAAAGAAATACCAGCTGATTTTGTTCATAAAATTGGTATGTTGAATAATATTAGAAAATCTTTGAAGTCTCGAAATAACTTAAGAATTCCGCTTTTTCTGATCCAAATTTTTTTTAGTTTTTTATGACCATTACATAGTCTGAAGTAATTTCAATGTTTTCTGATGAGTCTTTGTACAGAAACTCCGAAAAGAAGAAAGGATACTTTTCAATTCATTTAATTAAGATATTAGAAATTTTATTTTTGAAAGTATTTGCTTAATTGAGGAAATTTTGAGAAACTGCGAAACAAATCCAGTATGTTCCGAGGTATTCTGAAAGCTATTCATTATCTTTCCCTTTATCAGTTTTTTTACTGCTACTGCACTTCAGAGACATTGCCGCATTTATTTATTAAATTATATTGCATCAGCTACTGGGTGGAAGAGTGTGAGAATATCCTTAGTACGTAATTATTACTCAAATTATCTCGGTTTTTCTTTTCCCCACATCTCGGCTACAGACAGGAAAAAAATGTTCTTTAATATTCGAGCATTACATTTTCATGAATTACAATATATTACTTTTATCTGTATCGAGATATGTTCACTGTTCTATATTATGTTGTTAATAATATATTAGAAAACAGTTACTTCTATATAAATACATTTTGTTTTTATATTAGTAGCATCGAAAAAAAAAACGTAGCTCTTCTTTAATAAAACGATATCTTTATATTTCTTTCGATTAACAAGACTTTATGAAAGAATTGAAAAAAAGAAAAAATTCGGAACTCAATAAAGGAAATTTTCGATAGAAAAACTTTATTTCGTAAGACTCTAGTACAAATAAATACTTCACATTGAATGTTGAAAAATGCATCTATTCTTGATAACAATCATAAAGAATGAATTTCATCTCTACCGTTGAATATTCTTGATAAAATATAATATTATAAATAATATTTTTTTTAGAATCTATTGATGCAATAACTGGTGATACAGTTTCATTCGAATGTGAATTAAATAAACCAAATATGAAAGTAAAATGGTTAAAAGATAATAAACCATTGACAATGAATGATCGTATTCAATCATCAATTGATTCTGAAAATTCTCATATACATTTATTAACTATGAAAACACTCGAAACAAAAGATGCTGCAACATATACATGTGTTATTGATCAACCTGTATCAAAAAAATGTTCAGCACCTTTAACAGTTAAATCTATAACATTAAAATTAATTGAACCATTAAAAGATATATCATTAACTGAAAATGAAAATCTTGTACTTAAATTTATTGTATCACATGATTTAAAACAAATACCAGTTATATGGAAATTAGATAAAAAACCAATTCAAGCTGATAATGATCGTATACAAATTGAACAAGATGGTAAATCATATTTTCTAACAATAAAACAAATTCAATTAAATGAACAAGGTTTATATACAGCAGAAATTCCAACGCATAAAATTCAAACATCATCTCAAGTTAAAGTTAAACCTGAAGAAATTAAAATTCTTAAAGATTTACATATTGTTCCTAATGATGAACAACCAGAAAATCTTATTCTTGAAATTCAATTAAATAAACCTTTACCAACTGATATTATTCTTCTTAAAAATAGTTTGAAACCAACAAGAAAAATTCCTGTTGAAAATCTTAATAATGGTATATATCGATTTTTATTAGAAAATGTTACACCAGATGATTCTGGTTTATATGAAATTCCACTTGGACCAGATCTTAAAAGTTCATTACAAGTCAATATTGAACCAAAACAAAAAGAAGATTTAGATTTTACTATACCATTAAAAGATAAAATTGAAGTTAATGAAAATGAACCAATTCATCTTGAAGCTAAATTAAATCGTCAACCTGATTCACCTAATGATATCATATGGTTACGTAATGGTAAACCTATTCCATCAACAATAACAACTTCAATTAATAAAGATTTAACAATAACATTAGATATACCAAAAGGAAATATTGAAAATGATACAGGAAAATATACACTTAAATTACCAAATGGTAAACAATGTTCAACACAAGTTAATATATTAAGAAAACCAACAAAGAAAGATAAAAATGAAATTCTTCAACCATTACATATTATTCTTGATGAAAATCAAACTGAATTAAAATTAAATGAAAAAGTTACATTAAGATGTAAAACATCATTACCAGTTAAAAATGTTGAATGGAATAAAGGTGGACGAAAAGTTTCAACACGTCGTGCAGATATTTTAAGTACAGATAATTCAACTCAACATGATTTAGTTTTATCAAAATTAGATATCGATGATTTAGGACAATATCGTATTGTACTTGATTCGGATCTTGAATCATCAATTGATTTAAATATTTCACAAGAACTTAGTCCAATACGTTGTCAAGGTGAACCAATTGAAGGTCAAACAATAACATTAATATGTGATTCAACACTTCCACCTAAACAGATTCAATGGTCACCTATTATTGATCGAAAACGTTATGAACAACAAGATTTATCATTAAAAATAAAAAATTTAAATATTGAACAAGATTCAAAAGTTTTTACAATTACTGTTGATGGACAAAAACAATCATATGAATTAATTATAAAACCAATACCAATTAAATTTCAAGGAACTATTGAATTAAATCCAAAACTACCTAAAGAAGATGATAATGTTACATGTACAGTTACATTAAATAAACCATTAAAAGATCAAGTATTAGATTGGTATTTAAATGATCAATTAATTATTCCAAATGATCGTTTTATTATAACAAATGATGGTTTACGTTCAATATTAACAATTAAAAAGATTCGTCCACAAGATTCTGGTTTATTAGAATGTCAAATACCATTTTCAGATGAAAAATTATCAACAGAATTAAAAGTTAAAGAAAAACCATTGACTATATTAAAACCTTTAACATCTGATAAAGATAAACCAATGGAAGGTGATGATGTTAAATTATCATGTCAATTTTCAAGAAAACCAAAAACTATTGAAGTTTATAAAGATGGAAAACCAATTGATGTTGAACAAGAATTAAATGATTTAGATGCAACATTTAAAATAAATTTACCAAAAACAAAAGCAAATGACAAAGGAAAATATACAGTTATTGCTGATGGTGTTGATACTTCATATACATTAAGATTAACACCTAATCCAATTAAATTTGTTAAACAATTAAAATGGGATAAAGAATCACCATATGAAGGTGAAACTGTTCAAGCTACATTTACATTAAATCGAATACCAGATAAACCAATTCAATGGTTTAAAGGTAAATTTTTGGAATTTATTTTTCAATAGAATAAAGAATATTCAATAAATATAAACATGAAATATGTCTTACTTTGTAATGAATTCATAGAAAATAGTATGAGTTCTAGTCAACGAGTTATTAGAACAACATTCAGAGTGAACTGTAGGAATTTCTTTGAATTCAAAATTGAGAATTAAGGAGCTTTATTATGTATAGACAGATAAATCGTTTATCTAAACTTCTTTTCTTTTCAAATTTTATATTCTTCAATAAAGATACAAGCCGATCGACTAAGCCGTTGTTATTACCGCCAATAGTTAACTTTTTGAAAACATCCAACATCTAGTAGTAAAAGTATTTAGGAATATTCTGACCTTATTTTTTTTTTCATTTTAAAATTAGTTAGAGTAAGAAAATTATTTAAAAAAAAAGTATCAGAAGCTTCCAGCTACTGCCGAAAGCTAAAATAATATTCAAAAAAAGAAATGT